CTTTGAGAGAGATTAGAGAAGAGAAACTGCTTCTTCCAGAAACACTCCTGGGCCATGCTTAAACCACTTACCATGTGCAGAGAGCAGGAAGTGAGTCCACCCAGACAATGAGATCCTGATGCTAAGCTTTTCCAGCAAGAGAGGAGAAAAGACAGGTTAGGTATTGAAGGCCAGGACTAGTAGGCATGCTGGTGATCTAGTTACAAGATGAGTCCCTGTGGCTTCCAAACAACCACAAGCCAAGGACTAGCGCCCAGCCTGGGTGTGGAGGAACTCACAAATTATGATATGTATGATGTGTATGTGAGTGCAAGTGTGTATGTACCACAGCACATGTTTGTGGATCAGGACAATTGAGAGATGGCTTTCTCTCCACTTTGCTGAGGCAGGTTTCTTGTTTTTGTTGTGCTGTGTACCCCAAGACCACCCATCTTACAGAAGTGCTAAGTTACAAATGTGTGCCACTGTATCCTGCTTTTTTCCCTGTGGGTTCTGAGGATTGAACAAGAGCTTTTACTCACTGAGCCCTCTCACCGGCCACGTTTTGTCATTCTTTTTGATGGCTGCACCATATTCAGTTGTTTGGCTGTGTAATCATTTAATCATTCCTTTAGTGAAGGGCATTTGAGTTGTTTCTAGCCACTTTTAGGAAATTGAAGCTAACATCACTGTGTATATTTCCTTATAAATTTGTTCCATTGTAAATATTAGGCAAACTCCTAAATGTAGAATTTGACAGAAAGGGTATATATTTACTTTTGTTAGATTTTTGGCAAATTGGCTTCCAAAAGAATTGCATCCATTTACATTTCCACCATCAGCATGTGGAGCAACATGGACTTGCAAGTCAGGTATGGGTTATTAAATCCTGGCTGAGCCACTTGGGGCAGCTATGAGGACTGATCCTGTGTCCTGCAGCCTAAGAAGCCTAGATCCAGGAAGGACACAAAGTGTGTATGTAGCACAGGGAGGCTACAAGCACCATTTGCACTATCACCTCTCACTTTCGAGTCTGACACTAGTCTTGGAGATGTGGTCTTCAACCTACCCCAGTGTCTTCCATGTTGACTTCCCTTGTCACAGGAACTGACCAAGCCATCAGCCCATAGACTCACTGTTCATTACCTGGTCCCTGACTCTCTAAGCCTAGGTCCGTAAGTTAGAGTCAGAGGATGTTTCTGGCTTTAGCCCTGCCACTACCTAATGGGACATCTTTCCCTCCCAGCTGCTACCACTCCACCTTTAAAAAGGATGCAATGAGCCGGGCAGCGGTGGTGCCTCTAATCGCAGCACTTGGGAAGCGGAGGCAGGCAGATCTCTGTGGGTTGGAAGCCAGCCTGGTCTACAGAGTGAGATCCAGGACAGGTACCAAAACTACACGGAGAAACCCTGTCTTGAAAAACCCAAAAGGATGCAATGAAACTCTCCCTCTAGATCAGTTGAATTATTCTAGATGCAGGAGGAAACTACACAGAAGCTCATGATGTTTGAAAATAGACATGGATTTCCTGGGGTGGCAAGAGAAAAAAACAAAATTCAGGTCCTTGGACTCATCCCCGGAGACAAGGCAATGATTGCGCTCTGTATTGCAATGACACTCGCAGGCTGCACCAGTCGCAGCCACAGCTCTAGGATTTGGTTCTAATTACTGCCCAGCTCTCTCTTGAATGGCCTGTGACAATGTCTGGCGGCACTAACTCTTCTGCATTTATTTAGTATAAGGTGGTGTATAATATAAATATGCATCAGAAATACAACCAAATTACAGAAATTTTATGTCAGAAAATGGAGAATTGAAATTTTTCCTGCAATCCTGCAACTTGACATAACCAGTTTAGTTTCCCCCCTGGACCCTTGCTGGGTTTGTCTTGTTAAAGCACGAGCTGCCGAGAACCACAAGAACACCAGAGTGTATTGACCCAGTGGCCAAAAAAATACATTGAACTCTTTCATGTCTTTTCCTGAGAGTGCTGTTCAGGGAACATGTTTTTAAATGTTGTCCTGAAGCATAATAGAAAGAATCTTGTGAGCAAGGGTCACAGGCTTGTGTGCCAAACACACCAGTAAGGAGCAGGGAAAGAACTGTGGACACCTTCTGCCATGATCTCAGTCTCAGCCCTCAACTTCCTCATCTGTAACTTGGGAGTGAGAAGATAATATAAACTGCCTCAGATCTAGGATTAAATAAGGTAAGGTATAAATGAAGATTTGACTAGTGGATGTACTTCCAGCAGAGATGGTACCCGTGGAATGTCTGAATCTCACAAACGGGCTTACACCTGGGGTCAGGACTCCTCCAGAGGCCACCTGCTGGGCACTGGAGGGGCTCACATCTTGTGAGAGACTCAAGAACCAGCTTGAGCCAGGACTGGAGAGTAGGATCCCTACACCAGGACTTGTTTCTTATCCCTGGGGTCTCAAGATCAGTAAGGCTTGAGCCTGGGCAGTTCAGGCAGCAGTCCTCATACCTGTGGATCGGCCCCTGAGGGAAGCTCCATGGAGGGGTACACACACAGCCAGGAAGCCACTGGGCTTGCCTGAGACTTATAGAGAGGATTGGGAGCAGAAGCCAAACTAGCTTCCACAACATTAGGACAGCCCCTCTACTGAACCTGAGTCTAGTTTTTGCCAAAGGGAATCAGAATCTTCACCCATTTTTTTTGTTTTGTTTTGTTTTGGCTTCTTTTTAAAATCTTTTGAAGAGTCTCATGTAGCCCAGGCTGGCCTCCAACTCGGGATGACTGAATTTCTGATCCTCTTGCCTGAGTGTTGGTTGATTCCAGGCATAATATACAATACTCAGTTTCATGTGGTACAAGAAGTTGAACGTACATGGGGCTTTCTGCGTGCTAAGCAAGCACCCTACCAAGTAAGCCTAAGTCCCTTTCACGTAGTTCTGCTGTAACCTTAGGCAAACTCCTGCCACTTCTCCGGTTTCTCTCCATGCACAGGCCATTCCAGTTTTTATTAGGAGTCCTAGAGGTCTCTCTTGCTGGCCCTGACTCTTCCTTGGGGATTCACATGAACTCCCTCAGGGGAACTGGGGGTGGGGGTGGGGGGCAGAAGGGTCCCTGTACCCAGAAGTGATTTACATTTACTGAGTAACTCATATGGGTCATCAAAATAGGGTTCACTGCTACTTGAGGTATGGCAAAAACATCTGGAGGGACTTGGCTCAGATGGTGTGTCTGGCAGCAGCCTCCCAGGACTCACTCTGGTGTCCCTGCATGTGCCTCACCTAACCTTCCGCTCAGAGTCGAAAATGGAAGAACACGTGGGAGAGTCAGGTTAGGCACAGCTCTGTGTACCCTGGTGGAGGAGCACTGCCCAGTTGGGAGCCTATCTCTTGAGAGATTGGGGTTTTGTGGTGCAGGGGCTGGAGAAATGATTCAGAGGTTAAGAGCACTGGCTGCTCTTACCGAGGACCCAGGTTTAATCCCAGCACCCACATGACAGCTCATCCATAACCATAACTTCAGTTTAAGGGAATCTGGCCTGTGTGGGCACCAGGCACACACACAGCACACTTGCACGCAGGCAAAATACTCATACACCTAAAATAATTTTTTTTTTTAAAAAAAAAGAGGGTGTGGGTTGAGGATATAGTTGGTAGACCACTTTCCTGACCCACACAAAGCCCTGAGGTTCAGTCATAGGGGACCATACATCTGTAATGCCAGCACTTGGGAGGTGGAGGCACAGGCAGGAGAATCACACATTCACTGTCATACTCGGCTACATAGGCCATGTTTCAAAAGAAAGGGCTGCGATGCGGAACAGCTCGGCTGTTAGTAGCTGTGTGAACCTGAATGGCAGCCGTCAAGCCTCACTTCTCGTGTAGAACATGATCCATCACAAGTGGTTGGGAGGAACGAGGCTGCAGAGAGCAGAGCAAGGCTGAGGCCTGGGCCATCCTCAATAATGGTGGCCACTGGGAGTGTTGGCCTTTCCCAGGAAAAAAACAAAACTGTTGACCAGACAACTAGTGACCCCTAGTGGCCACTGAGAGCTGGGCCAAGACTGAGGGGTGAGGATTGAACTGTGGATATGCCCCATTCCCGGAACTTTGGACTGTTGAACTTGCTGAACAAGAGACTGTGACCACTCAGGAGGCACTTCCTGTGGCTTGAGCCAGGCCTGGATGCAGGGAATACTGTTCCCACTCTTAGACTTGCTCCCAGGTTTAAGAAGGGAGGCAAGCTGGAGGTGAGGGACAAAGGCCTCTTACCCAGCTGGCAGGTGAGGGTAGGCTGTCAATAAAGGGACAAAAGACAGCCTGAATTGCCATGGGAAGGACAGGACATTGAAGGCAGAGGAAGAAGCACTGTAGGACACCAAAGCGCTGGACTTGTGACCATGCTGACACTGTAGATGTGGTGTGGGACAGTAAGTGCCTGCCATCCCAGCACTGAGGCTGAGGCCGCATTTCCTAGGCTCTGAGCCTACTCTAAGCTATTACATGTGTACCTGACTAGCCAGGGTTACAGAGCATGACGTGTCCAAAACAGCAACAACAAAAAGCTAGGGAAACTGCTTCTGGTGAGGACAAGGCTAGGAGTGAGGCACCTGTAGAGAGGAGCAGACAGCAGCCCAGTCACTGGGGGCGGAGGAAGGGAGGAGACAGTGGCGGAAGGCAGGCAGCCTATGGTCCAGGTGGGATGCAGGCCAGGTCATGGTCCCAGTCTTCAGGCAGGGCCTCCTGCCAAGGATTCTGATGTCACTCGAGCTTATTAGGGCCCTTTCCACCAGGACCGTCTACTAGCCCCAAGAGCTACTGCTCTTCCTGCCCCTGCTTGGGCCTTTAAATGCTATTCCACGGTTAGACTGGAACAGCCAATTTCCCTGTACCCCCCAAATGTTTCAAAGAGGCAAGACACAGGTTGTTTGTTTGTTTGTTTGTTTTTTCCCACTTTGAGGAAAATAAACAAATAGAGATTTTTAGAAAATTGTTTTGTTTTTTGCTTTTCAAGACAGGGTTTCTCTGTGTAGCTTTGCGTCTTTCCTGGATCTCACTCTGTAGTCCAGGCTGGCCTCGAACTCACAGAGATTCGCCTGGCTCTGCCTCCCGAGTGCTGGGATTAAAGGCGTGCACCACCGCTGCCCGGCGACTTTTAAAAAATTGTAATCCCTAGCTCACACTTTGATTTTAGACAAACAGGCCGGGTCCTGCCAGCCCTCACATAACATCTACAGTTGAATCAAAGCGCAGCTCTGGAGTCCAGATCAGAAAGAGGCTGTTCTCTGGCTTCGGGCTTCAGAACACAGCTCCGATCCAGACAGGGAAGCCGTGCCCCTAGTGCCAGAGCACCACCTTCCTGCCTTGGTCCACACTCACAACGTGGTTCCCAGAGAAGCACCAGGCCACGGCGTTGACAGCGGCACTGAAGAGAGGGAAGACGGGCGTCAGGAGGGCAGCAGGAGCAGGAGGGCAGCCTGACTCTGCCCCTCAGCATCCGACCTAGGCAGCTGGAGGAGCCTTGCTAAGCCCAAGACCATTTCCTCATCTATAAAATGGGCTCCCAGGCCCGTGGCAACGATGGGCCCAAACGCATGTGGAAGGCATGCATGTGGTGGTGTGCTCACCAGTGGGGTCCCTGTAGGCTGCTCTCCAGTTTCCCAGTGTCCACATCCCAGATGTACAGGGCTCCATTTGAGGAGCCTGCCAGCGCATAGCCTCTGTCAGGGCTGGACAGGTCACAGCAGAAGATGAGAAGGGGTTCAGAAGTACAGACACGCGCACACGGGCTACACAGGCATGCCCTCCCAGACGCACCTGAACACAGCTTTGGTCCAGTCAGAACTGCACTTGAAGCCATCCGCCCTGAGGACAGAGCAGGGCTGGAGTCAGAATGCAGGCTGCTTCCAGGGGGCCTGTCCTCCTCCAGATGTGAGAAGGGGCCGGCCGGTCCTAGTCTAGAGGGGCTACCAGGGAGTGCCCCCCACGACCTTGCACAGGGGAGGCCCAACAGGCCCAGTACCTGAACACCTGTCGGATATTGCTGATTCGCAGGTCGATGACCTTGAGTGTATTGTCTCGGGAACAGCTAAGCAGATGCAGCTGGTCGTGGCTGAGGCTCAGGGAGGTAACCCGGCCCTGTACAGGGATGACCTGGATGCAGTGGGGGCCCCTGGCGGGAGGGAGGGGAATAGGGATAGAGAGGAATGAGGAAGAGGCATCCTAGGGTACTTCGGACAGGCTGTATGTGGCCACTTTCCCAGCTAATGTATTCCAGAGGCACCCCAGGCCTGGATCCCTGGGGCTGAGGCTGACAGGACTACCGGCCCTTCCCACTACAGTCAGCTTTCCATTGAGAGACTGATTTGAGAGCTGGAGCCTTTGGTCACTTAGAAGGTTTGGGTCACTTGGGAATAACGGTGTTAACCAGATGTGGTGACAGGCCTGTAAACACAGCTGAGGCAGGAGAATCCTTTGTTCAAGGCCAGCCTGGAAAACTTTACTGAGAGCCTGTCTCCAAATAAGTACCTAAAAAGGCTGGGAGCATTCTAGCAGATATAAAGCCCTTGGTTCAACCCCAGGCAGATGAGCAATCTCAAAAAGAGAGGCCGCAGAGACCTACAAAGCACTAGCCCTGCTTTGGTCAGCCAACTATTCTTTTTTGCTGTTTTTGACTAAAATGTGGTGCTAAATACGGAAAAGGTGCTTGTCTGTGTTGGTTATAAGGCCTGGGGGAGAGTTCGGTGCTGACTTGAGAGCCACCAAGAAGGCGGCACAGCTCCCCAGACACACTGAACCCTCAAAGACCATGCCCAGCAGAAGCCACCCGCTGGCACACTTCCCCAAGGTTCCACAACCCTGCCACAGCCAGAGAAAGGAACAAGAACTCAGGGCCCCTACCACCCACAGCCCGTGCCTGTCACCTGCTGTCCCAGAACCGGATCTTCTGGTCATTGTGGCCACTGATGATGATGTGGTCCCCGCACACCACGTCATTACAGTAGGAAAGCACATTGATGGTCCTGGAACCTGAGGGCCAAGGAGGAGAACCGAGAGTCTCAGAACCAGCGGCAGCCACTGAATGTGAGCAGTCTCCTTCCAAGACTGGGGTGCAGGCCTTCCCAGCCCAGGGCTCACCCTACCTCTAAAGACCAAGGTCACCACGAAAGCAGGAAGAGAGCAGCAGGGAGTGACAGAGAAGGGAAATCATTAGAGGTTTGAGGCCCAATGACATGAACCCCGGAGCCACCGCTAGAGAATAAGGTAAGGTCTCTGTGACTAGGAGCTGGGGCGAGTGGGACTGAGCCTCACAGTAGGCGCGGCCCAGGTCCCATTCCTTCACAGTCCGGTCTCGGCTCCCAGTCACTGCCTGATGCCTCGTTAGCTTGAATTTGGCAGCTGTCACTTTGTCCTTATGTCCAGACAACGTTTCCTGTCCCCACAGAAAGCACAGATTAAGCCAACCCCTCAAAACAGCCACTCTGCAAATCCCGAGGCATGACCCTTAACCCTTAGGGAGCCTCCCCAGCCAGGCCTCACCTTGGACTGTGTCTCCCCCACCTTCCAGAGCTGGGCAGCCTGGTTGTAAGTAGCTGCCAAAACCTGGGAGCCCTAGAAAAAGGGAGTAGGAGAGGTCCTGGGCCATGGTGGGCCTGACAGAGGCATTGGGCTGCAGGCCAGAGAGCCAGGGGAGACTGCCTCCAAGCTTCCCGGTCACTGAGGCGGGCAGAGCCATGGCCCATGGAGGTGAGGGCAGCTCCTCCAGGGTCGGTTCTAAGACACCCACAATGTGCCCTCAGGCCCCAGGGCCCCACTGCCCTGTGTAGAGACTGAGGTGACATCCATGCCACTGGGGCAAAGTCTCCTTACCGAGGGGTCAAAATCCACACTGGTGATGCTGCCACCAGCTCCTTCGAGGGTCTGGTTAGCCTCCAGGCGACCTGAAGGCAGGGGAAGGGATAGTCGATGAGATTATTAGCCTTACAAAATAGAGGAACTGGGACCCCGGACAAGAAGTAGAGGACAGAGTGGCTGGGTCTGGCTTGGCCTGGGAGGAGAGTGCCACCTCCTCCAACTGCTGTACAGCCCTAGGGACAACTAGGCAGGTCACACTGCTAGAGAAGACCAGAGAGGAGGGACTGTCCCTAGGTCACAGAGCAGGCCAGGCCAGCCTAGCTGCAGGCCCACTTCTGGGAAGCCTTCAGGAGTTGGTGCTCGGTCCCCGTCCCTACAGAGCACACATCCTAAAACAAGGTGGACAGTCAGTGTGGACCACCTCATTGATTTCCGGGAGCCTAAGTGATCCGAGCATAGGATGTAGCTACTCTGGGCACATTGGCACAGAGTTAATACCAGCACAGAGGAGGCAGAGGCACCTGGTCTGTTGGAGGAGGCCAACCTGGTCTGCTTAGTGAGTTCCAGGCCAGCGAGGGCTACATAATGAAACCCTGTCTAAAAATGAAAAGGAGGTAGTTTGGTAGACCCAGGGACTTGCCCAAGACTTGGCTCTACGTGCCTTCAGGAAGGATCAGGTATCCCTACCTCCTCCAACAGCAGCCATCTGGGCTGGGCCTCCCTGTCCTGCAGAACTGAACCCAAGGAGCTTCTTGAGAGCAAGAGCTCAAGGTCTCCCTCTTCCTCAGAGTTCTCTAGCCACTGTTCATAGACTCCTCCCAGCAGGGGACAGGGGGGACAGGCCTAAGACCAGGGCCAACCAGGATCCAGCTGAGAATGGGGTCTGCAGGAGAGTGCTGGGTTGACTTTCAGGACGGAGCTCTAACCTCCCACGACATTCCAGAGGTGGATGAGCCGGTCAGCCCCTCCAGTGGCCAGGAGGCTGCTGTTGGGGCCAAAACAAACAGCATTGACCTCAGAGAGATGGGCATCCTGTTTAAAAAAAAAAAAAAAAGAGGGGAGGAGTTGGTACCCCAGATCCTCCCCATGCATGCCTCTTTGTGTCCACTCACAGGCTTTTTCACATCTCTTCCTGGCCTGGCAGCTCCCTTTGAGAGGGGGGGGGGGGTCTCTGAAAACCCTAAGTTTCACATTTGGCCCCACCAGGTCTTTCCACCTATGCCTGGACCCCTGCCGCCCCACGCCTCATGCTGAGTGTCTGCCTCTACCCCACTCCAGTCCGTGTTCTACTGTAAAATGCTGTGTGGCTCCCGCCACAGGCTACAGACAAACTCCTGCTCAGCCCACTTGGTCCGCCCTTGAACATTCTCATTAGCACCCCAGACATGAGGCCCAGCTCCTTCCTTACCAAGACGTCCTGAGCCTGGGTAGGAATCTGGGCAGATACACACACAGGGATGCTTTGGTACCGCTGCTCAGGGGCACCCCCCACCGAGTGACCTCGCCTCTTCTTGAAGCTGCAGGGGTGAGGAGAGGAAAGCATCCAGCAAAACCTGCTAGCATGGGGACTTGAAGCTCTCCTGAGGCAGCAACAAGAAGCAGACATGGCAGGTGGCGGGGACATTCCCCAAGGTCCCCAACCCAGCCTGACCCCTGTGGAGATGCGGGCAGAGACGAGCAGACACAAGACAAGGTAGGAAGTACAAAGAAACGTTGAGGCTGGCTGGCATTCCGGTCATGGCATTACCACTGCTAGGCTAAGTAACTGAACAAATCTTAGACATTTCCGAGCCTCAGTTTCCCGACTGAATGGGCGTTCTTGATCAACCTCGGGCTAGTGCTCTTAGTCCCCTGTGAGGACCCTGAATAAGGACAGTGTTACGAACCTGGAAGATAGTTATCAGGAGCTGGTCTCGAGCTATCCACCCAGATCCTGCCTGTGGGGCCCAACAAGATGCACAGACAGACAGACATCATATGGATGGACAGACCAAGGCTAGGCGCAGGGAGCCTTCCAGGGGGTGCCAATCCCTTCACACATGAGCACACACACTTACTCCAGCAGCCCCTTCACCACATCCACACAGCGGGACAGTGTCAGAGAGGTGGCCGAGGCAGACCTGGGGCAGAACGGAGAGGCACACTGAGAGCCTGGCTCATGGCGGTCCACCCAGCAGTCACTGATCCCTATATTTCACGAGGGACCCCTGAGGAGGTCATGATCACTCAAGGCAAGAACCAGAACTCGATTCACTGAAAGCTAGGAGAGGCGTGACATAGATTAACCAAGAAGGAGATTCTTGGCAATGAACACCTCCCCACGTCTCCACCAAGATGACACAGAGTCTCATTCCCCAGGTGCTCACCAACAAAAGCTCCTGAGACACCGAGCCCCGGCCTGTGGAGAGGGCTAAGGAAGAGAATGATGCTCCCAGGCTGAGACAGTGAGTGGGGAAACGCCAGCTCGCTGAGCAGCCCTCAAAACACCCAAGTAAATGTTTGTGCTGAGACATCTAGACCATTAGTGCTGCCAGAATTTGGGGAACCGGCATTTCATGGTGCTCCCGTTCATTCACTCTCCCAGGGACAGAGGTTCCTGAAGGAAAGACTTCTGGAAAAGAGCCTTCAGGCCAGCAAATGGGGAAGGACTGGCAGCCCAATGACAAGCCAATCAAGATGTGGCAGAAGCCAGATATGCTGGCGCATGTCCTAATCCCAGCTATTGGGAGGAAGACCAGGAGTTTGAAGTCATCCTTGACTATACATTGAGTTTGAGGTCAGTCTAAGCTATACGAGACCCCCCATATATGGGGATTGAGCAGAGAGACACCTGAAGATTCAAACTCCTGTCATAGCTCAAGTGTGAACACGCTTTAACACAGGCTCGCACTCAGATATGCTCACTAACCTTGCACACATGCTCATGTCCCTGTGCGGACACACACATGCACTCCTGTGCTTACACACACAAGCCTGGGACACCCGAGCCTTGGGTCTTGTCCACTTTCCTCCCAGTGACACTTTTTCATAAGCCTTATGGCTCACCCTAAGAGCCCTGGTTCTTGGAAGTAGAGAATGGAGTGACACTGCCTGCCTCCAGGCACTGAGGTCAGAACAGTACTGGGCTGTACACAGCCCTCTCCAAAAGCTGGCCCCGATCCTGGAAAAAGACATGGGCAGCCTTCTGGGTGGGAGCCAGCTGAGGTAGGAGAGTACGTGGATGCTCACCTGAAAGGCCTCTTCCATTTCTCACAAGTCTCACTCTCCAGGAACTCGGGTGTAGCAACAGGGGACAGAGGCGCAGACTCCTCCCTGGTCCCACCTTCTAGAGTGTTTGGGATCCTGGGAGAGAAAAGCAGCTTGGGAAGACCAAAGAAGGCCACCCCTCCCCGCCCCAGCAGTACACAAAAGTAAGCTAAGAGCCATGGACTGGCTTCCATGACCACACATATCTCTACACCTGTCCAGGGACCTGACCTGTGCACACAGGCACCCAGGTGTACCTGTAGCCACTTGCAGGCCGGCAGGAGTGAGGTGTGGATAGACTATAGGTAGTGAACACATCCCAGGGCTGCAACCCTATACCAGAGTCATCCCTGTTCCCTTCCCATTCTTACTCGCTGATGCTCACAGTCCGCTTAGCCGCTCTCTTCAGCTCCTGGGACACCCGGGCTTGGTTGGCCCTGGCAGAGAGAAAAGCATCCTAAAGGAGATGCTTTGCAGGTGGAGTGGCCCAACTTAAGCGGGTCCCTTCTGATCAATGGAAGGCCCTGACCTCCCCGGGCCCCGCCCCGCCCCGCCCCATTCCCAGTCGTCTCAACCAGGTTGAGTCCACACTGCCTCCCGGAGGCGTGGCCTATTTCTGATGGGGCGTGGCCCCGAGCCTTCACCTCTCCCTTCGCTCATTACGCAGATTGCACTCGGCAGCGGCACGCGCTTTACGCTGCACAAGCCGCTCCAGCAGGTCCCGTGCCTCCTCCTGGAGCCTGCGCAGTGCGGCCTCCTGGTGTGCTGCTTGCTCTAGCAGCGCCCGGTAGGCTTCTCTCTGCGCCGCGTTCTCCGCCTGCAGTTCCTCCAGCTGCCGGGACTGCTGCGCCCGCGCCTCGCTTAGCTGTACCACGCAGGCTTGCAGGGCTTCCAGCCTGCAGGGCGGAGACATCAGGCGGTGGCCTCTAACCTCCAACCACAGGTCTAGGGGGCGCTTGGGGACCCAGGGGAAAGCTCTAGGGGCCCTTCCCATCCCCTCGCCTGAGGCAAGACCGCTCCCGACCCTCATCTCACCTGCCCTGGCGCTCCTCCAGCTGTGACTGCAGGGTGTCTAGGGCTGCGCTCTTCTTCACCACCTGGTAGGCCATCTGGGGAGGACAGGTGACATGCGGGCCTCTCCAGGGTGGACCTAGCCAGCCACCACCCGGCTACCCACCCGTTCCTCACCCAGGCTGAGATAGGTTGGGATCCTGTATAAGGATGCCCCGCACTTCAAGGGATAATTGTCAGACCCAGGACTCTGGAGTTTGACTCCTAACGGTCAGTCCTAGCTGTGACCCAGCGATAGACATTTAACCCGCTGCAAGAGGAATCTGCTCCATTTCCTTACCTGTAAAATGGCAGGGGAGTGCGTTCCTAATCACAAGGTAAGCCAGAACTACTATCAGGAACTCAGTGGCAGACTATTAGCTTACACTTGTGTCGCGCCTCGTCCCAAGCTAACTTTCAATCTCCGTCACACCCAAGTGAAGCACTCCCATTTTCATACCGCAGATGAGGATGCTGACGGGTTAAGTGACTTATCCAAACTCACACAGCTAAGTGGCAGACCTGACGACTCGAACCCAGGCCACCTAACTACATTATGCTCCGTATAAAGCACTGGTGTTCCCAGGGCTGCACAGGACGTGAGTTCTAGTTCCCAACTCCCAACACCTGGCTTCCTAGCCCATCCCCCACCACTGGCCAACCCAGGCAGCCCGTAGCACCCACCCACGGCTAAGAACAGGAGCAGATTAGGAGCACACCGCCCAGACTCAATCCTGGAGCTGTGGGCTGAGGATACCTCAGCACTCCTTCCGCGGAGAGCGAAGAAGAACTGCAGGGGTGCAGCCCCCTCCTCCCCTTTCGGTGCTGAAATCCCGGGAAGAACAGATTCCCGAGGCAAAGCTGTGCCCACCAGTGTGGCAAGGAGACCAGCATGAACGCCTCTGGCTCAGGAAACGATGGAGCTGGGGGCTGGCTCTTCTTGTTAACTTGTCCCTCACCCTTTCTTCCCAGAGGCGGAGGAGCAAGCCAGGGCTGCTCACCTGCCCTGACACAGCTCCTGGTGTGAGAGGCCTGGAGAGGGACCCTGCACAGGCAGGGTGGACCGCCCATTCCATCATAAGCCAATTATAACGTTTATCTTTTTTTTTTTCTTTTCCGAGACAAGGTTTCTTTGTGTAGCTTTGGAGCCTGTCCTGGAACTCACTCTGTAGATCAGGCTGGCCTCGAACTCACAGAGATCTGACTGTCTCTGCCTCCCGACTGCTGGGATTAAAGGTGTGGGCCACCGCCACCCCAGCTCATCATTTTCAATACTGAGAAAGCCAGTTACCATCTCCACCTCCCTCACCAGTCACTTGCTTTCAGAGTTCAAATGGTAGACAGAGGTAGAAACAGATTAGTGGTGGCCAGGGATTAGCGATGTTCGGGTGTGACTAAAAAGGGGTGGCAAGAAAGGGATCTTGTAAACAAGCACTGCAATATCCTGATTGCTACACGAACCTACACGCGATAATGTCACACACCACTCTCAAATTACAACCACACAGCACTCTGGGGAGGGGCTCTCCAGTGTCTTCCTAACCTACTCCCGCCTTGTGTTTGGGCAGGTGAGGAGGCATGCTATAAAAACATGTGATTACTGGCTCCTCGGTCTCCATGGAAACCCATGGGGCCAGGCCTTGTTTATGGCCGCACTCCCTGTTCCCTGGATTGTCGATAAATAGGTGTTGAGAGAATGAATGAAGAGTCACAGAAAGTGGGTTTGTGTGGGTAAAGGTTCGAGTCCAGGGTCCACACCTCGAAGCCCCATCCTACTCCTCGGCGACTATAAAGTTGCGGCGCGCTGGCCCAGATACTGCCACACAAGCAGGACCACTCACTCAGTGCCGGCTTCCGGGGACCATCTCTCCCTGGCCCACCATTCGCAGGCCCCACCCCGCTTACCTCACCGCAGACCAGCTGCAGCTCCTTCTCCTCCTGCTGCCACATCATCCTCAGAGAGGCTGCTGAGGAGACCCCGTCAGAGGCAGGCCTGGAGAACTCCCCCCTGACAATAAGAAGAATTCACGGTCCCTCCTCTCCCCCCTGTCCCCCAAGAGTGCCCCCCATAAAAAGCTCCAGGAGCCATTAGCTTTCTCTTGGGGTAGGTAGAAGCCAATCAGAGAAAGGGCAGTCTCAGAAATAAGCTGTCCAGGACCCCTCTGCTCCAGGATGGTCCAGACCTCGGATGCCTGTCAGTGACACCCCTAAAGAAGCACAATGGCACTTACTCACTTCCCCAGAACTCAGGAGGCCAAACCGTATTCTGAGATCAAGACCAGCATGAGCTACATAACAAGACCCGGTATAAAGTAGCTCAGGGTTGGAAGGATGGCTCACTCGGTACAATGCTTGCCACACCAGAATGAGGACCTGAGTTTGGGCCCCAACACCTACATTAAAAAACCTGGCATGGCATGAGGCCAGGAGGCGGTGGCACACATCTTTAATCCCAGCACTCGGGAGGTAGAGCCAGGCTGATCTCTGTGAGTTCAAGGCCAGCTTGGGCTACAGAGCGAGATCCAGGACAGGCACCAAAACTACACAGAGAAACCCTGTCTCGAAAAACAAAAAACAAAAAACTGGCACACTTTACCAGAGCTAGGGAAGTTGAATCGGCTCACTATAGGGTCGGTACAAGACCTTGTCTCAAAAAACTAAGGTGAAACGTAATTAAGGAAGACATACAGTGTTAACCTCCAGCCTCCACAGATGCACATACAAATAGCATGTGTAGTCCGGTGGTGCACACCTGTAATCCCAACCCCTGAGAGGTGGGGACAGGAAACCAGGAGTTCGGGGTCAGCCTGCCGAGGCTACACACTCTTCTCATTCTGTCCCCCACTTACTCCTCTTACATTCACTCCCTCTTGGGAATGGGTAGCAAGCCCCTCTTTGTAGCTATCGGGTAGGGAACAGAGAGGGAAAAGACACAGAAGGGAAAACAGGATTGCGGGATAGGACAGGAGGCAAACGCAGAAAGAGAAGAGCCTAGGAAGAAGATGCTAAGCAGCCAGCTGGGGGGGGGGGGACGGACTCACGGGGCTGTCTACCGTCCCCTCTCACATCCCCAGCAGCCACGGGCTGATGAGGTGCCAGGGCTGTGCAGAGCAAAAGCAAAGCGCAGACAAAGAGGCAGGCACAAGCAGCCGGCTGTGATCACTCACACAGACTCACCAGCAGTCCTGATGCGGGGCGGAGGTGACATCCTCTGGCTCTGACTTCAACTTCTCTGAGAACTTGGCTAGCAGTTCAGCCTTCTCTAGGAGGTGGTTATCTGGGGATGTGAGAGGGCACAAGCCTGTGGCAGAGGCAGACACTCGCCGGCAGACACCTGGCATACAAGTTACCTCAGGCTAGGATGGCTACAGAAGCCCAGGATCCTGGGATAGGGAAGCTGCTGGGGGCTGGGCTCTGGCCCTTCCTGGGGGGTGGATAGCTGCCTGGTGAAGCCTCCTCACAGCACTGGCCTGGTGAAGCCTCCTCACAGCATTGGTCCCCAGCACCCCCGCCCCCCAGGAGAGAACCTGTCCCCTCCAGGACAGAAAGACCACCACTGCTGGGGACAGAGACGTCTAGGTCACACTTGGTAAAGGACAGAAGGAAAGCAAGGAGATTAATCCATCTCGGCCAGAGGTCTGAATCCAGAGCATGAAAGCACACCTGCCTGTCCCTCCAGTAAGACACTTCCCCTTCAAGGCCTCGGAGTTTATAATTAAGTAATTCTCACTTCCACCCAGTAGCTTCCCCCAGGTCAATATTGAAAGTCCTTGAGCAATTATCTAACAATCTTCCCAGGTTAGGTGGTTTGACCTTGGATCCCCCTCGCCCACACCCTTTCCAGTCATTTCTGCTTTTTTTTTTTTTTTTTTAACCAGTTCCAGGGCAGACTGGAGTTGAAAACCTCGTGCGCAGATCTTCCTCTCCCTCCCTCACTGTGACCTGACTGAGGTTCCTGGGCCTGACCTAATACTCAGAACTCGACCCCAGACTCCAAGGCTTCTAAAGGCGCAGCCCCCCTACCCCCACCCCCACCCCCATACAAGGTCATAATAAGCCTCATTTACCAGTAAGAAATCTGAGGTTAAGGACTTGAATTATCCATATCACAGACCTGGGTCTCTCTAGTTCCCCAAACTTACAACTCCCATAGAGGTCTTGGGGGTGGTTCCCCCCTCAAACAGTCCCACTGCCCGTCAGAGCAGTTGGAGAACTGAGGCTGCCTGGAGGTAGACAGAGGTGGGTACACAACCCCGGGAGAAGGCCAGCCCCCGGCAAGTTCCATGAAAACAAGTTTGATGGCATAGATGCATCAAAATTAGCAGCTAGTGAAGAAGCAGCAGGGACTGTGGTTAGACTTCCAGCCCAAACATACAGTCACGGTTGACCAGAGGCAGTAAACACAAACGCACTCCAGTGTATCTTGGCTTGAACTGCCACACCCCCTCCTGACCAAACCGGCCAGAAATAACTGTATGAGGGCTTGTCTCCGCCGGCACAAGAAGCACCTAGGATCCGCTAGGCACCGAGGCGCTCCCCAAACCTGTGCCAGGATTAACCTATCAGTAGCAGAATCTACCAGGGTTTCGCTCCTTCCTTTCGGCCACTATGGCTGCTCTGGCCACGCCTGCCTTCCTTGACTGCACTTTGGGGACCAAACGGACTGACCAGGCCCTGCCATGGGGACCGCCGGTAAAGGGCGAAACCAGCCCGGAGGGACGGAGCTGATGTCTAGGATGCTCAAGGGAGGCAGAGCTGAGTCTTGAGGGCTAAGCAGCGCCCAGGCTGGAAACGGCAGGTAGGGACCCTGGTCAGTACGAAGAGGGGCGTCAACAGGTTCCCGGTGCAAGGCTGGGAAATCGAGACAGCGCCGCTGCCCCGAGTCACCAGCCTAGCGGCGGGACGAGCCCTCCCGCCGAGCGGGGAGCCGCATCTCCTCAAAGGCCGACGTCCCCGAGTCCCCCCGGGGCGCACTCACAAGCCGGCACGAGCTCCAGGAAGAGCGTCTTCTGCGTGCGGTCCCGATGCCGCAGCTGCCGCACGATGTGGCGCTTCCAGACGGCGGCGGGCGCGGAGGGACCGCCGGGGGCGCCGGGTCCCGCCATGGCCGCCCAGTCCCCGGCCGCGGCGCACAGCTCTCGCCGGAGCCGAGCTCGGGGGCGGGGCTTCCCGGGGACTCCTTGACGTCAGGGCGGCGGCGGCGGCGGGGAATCCCCGGGCCGTACCAAGTGCATTCGTGGGGGACACCTGGGCGCCCCAAGGCGGGTGCTGCGGCGGCCAAAACTTCTACCTCGAAGGAGCTCGGTTCGGTCTCCGGGGAAAGCAGCTTCCCCGGCGCCTGTGGGCGCGTCCGGGGCGGGGCCTCGGGGTCGCGTTCCTTAACCTCGCCACGCCTGGACCAGAGTCAGCTGCTAAGGATGCTTTTCGCCGTTGCCTCGGAAGCAGGAAGGGCAGAGACCCTGTCACCCCGGGGCTGTACAGGGACAGGCACCAAGCACAAGTCTAACAGAAGAGACTGCCTGAAAGAGCCCCACTGTCGCCCGAGGGTCACGTTTGAGTGGGGTTTATGAGGGATCAACCAAGAACATTAATTAACCAGAGAGGGGGATCCAGGACTCAAGCCCTTGTAAAGAACAAATGAATAAGTTTGATGACATAAAAATGACCAATGCAGGCCTGGGGTGGGAGTAGCTCAGGGATAGGGATCTTGCTTAGCCTGTGCGAGGGCCTGAGTTCAAGGTCCAGTGTTTCAGGCTTGGAAGGACAGGAAGCAGAACTTTAGGGCTCTAAGAAAAGGCTCAGTTTCGCCAGGCCGTGACGGCTCACACCCTTAGTCTCAGCACTCAGGAGGCAGAGGTAGGTGGATCTCTGTGAGTTTGAGGCCAGCCTGGTCTACAAAGCGATTTCCAGAACAGCCAGGACTATTAACACAGAGAAACCTGTCTCAAAAAAAAAATAAACAAACAAAAATTATTTGGAAAACCCCAGGCTTGGAGGAGAGAAGGGCCCTGCTTGCCTGAGGCTGCATGCTGTAGGTACCTGAGGTAGCCAGCAACCCAGTATCCTGACTCAGGACCATTAGGCTCCCTTTCTTGGACTAGGAGCACAGACATCTCTTGTGGGTAAACTTGACAGTGAATCCTGGCTTCACAGAGAACTGTAATGAAACTGTCTCTAGCAAAGTGCCTATCCAGAGTTCTGCAGGTACATGCTGGGGTAAAAAATGACAGGAGAGTCAGGCGGTGGTGGCGCACGCTTTTAATTCCAGCACTCGGGAGGCAGAGGCAGGCGGATCTCTGTGAGTCCGATGCCAGCCTGGTCTTTAGAACAAGTTCCAGGTCAGGCAGGGCTACACAGAAAAGCCTTGTCTCGAAAAACCACGCCTTTAGTCCCAACACTCAGGAGGCAGAGCCAGGCGGATCTCTGTGAGTTCGAGGCCAGCCTGGTCTCCAAAGCGAGTTCCAGGAACGGCGCAAAACTGCACAGAGAAACCCTGTCTCGAAAAAGAAAAAAAAAAAAAAACAAGAAAAACCAAAAAGAAGAGAAGGAAGAGGGGAAGAAAGATTCACTGGCCCAGTCTCACAACGTGACATGCCAAGAAAGGTTCAGCAGGCCCTGTCCTCAGTGAAGGCTGACCTGGCTCTCCGTAGGAAATAAACCAGAAAGGGGCAGGGGCAGGCAGCCCTCCAGATCTTGAGATTCTGATGGGGTCAGTTACAGGACTTGGAGAATAGTAAAGGCAGATGACACCCAGGACAGTGTATTCTGTTGTCCTTTGAAACCACTGCGGAGCGGAACATGGGGGTGCATGCCCGTAAGCCCAGCACTGATGCCCGCCTGGGGTGCACAGTGAGTTCAAACCAGCCTGGGTTACACAACAAGACCCTGTCTCCAAACACTTTAAACTGACCTTAGTCCCCCGTGTGTCTTTGGCTCGGGCCCTCCCAACCTTTGCATGTGTGCCCAGCGTTACTGCAGGAAGTCTGGCTCTGCCCACACATCGGATCCAGGAGCACTTACTTCCCAGGCCCTGCACACAGCTAAGGTTTCTGTGACCCCAGCCTGCCCACACCCCGGCCTGCCCACGCCCCGGCCCGACACAGTGTGCGCATCTTTCAAGTAAGGAGTTATGTGGCGGGCAGGTTTCCTAACACTTTTTTAAAATGTATTTTAATCATGTAGTGTGTGTGTGTGTGTGTGTGTGTGTGTGTGTGTGTGTGTGTGTGCACATGAGTGCAGGTGCCTGCAAAGTCTAGAGGCATCAAATTCCCTGGAACGGAAGTTACAGGCGGTTGGAAGACACCTGATGTGAGTGCTGGGAAATGGACTCATTTCCTCTGGAAAACCGCACCTGCTCTTAACTGCGGAACTGTCTTTTCAGCACTCCTAATTAATACTTTTTTAACTCACGAAATACTGCTAGAAATTTTTTAATAATTTTGTCATTTTTGAATGGTAGATGATTCAAAAAGTATGGTGGCATACTTCCAGCTCTAAAAAATTTATTTACTCATTATGAATTGTCATTTTTTTTCTCACCCACTGGGTCCTGTTAGTGCCACCTCTATGTGAGCTTATCCACTGAGACGTGGGGAACCTGCTATGGCCACACCCTAAAAATCTGATTTCAAGTGAACTTTATAGTTTTTCTAATTCTAAATATAGAAGATAGTTTCAGCCAAAGTTTATCATTTGTTTTTTATTTATTCATTGACCATTTCATACATATATACAATTCACCCCCAACTCCTCTCCCACTCTTCCAATAACTTTTTTCATTTTTTTTTTCCTTTCTTTCTTTTGAGGTTTTTTTTTTTTTTTTTTTTTGGTTTGCTCTTTGAGCTTTTTCAAGACAGGGTTTCTCTGTGTAGCCTTGGCTGTCCTGGAACTTGCTCTGTAGACCAGGCTGGCCTCAAACTCAGAGATCCACCTGCCTCTGCTTCCTGAGTGTTGGGATTAAAGATGCATACCATCACTGCCTGGGTAGCTAATAAATTTTTATATAAGAATATGCAGGAGCTGGAGAGATGGCTCAGTGGTTAAGAGCACAGGCTGCTCTTCCCAGAGGACCTAGGATCAATTCTCAGCACCTACATGACAACTCACAGCTGTCTGTAACTCCAGTTCCAGAGGATCCGACACCCTCACACAGATATGCATGCAGGCAAAAATACCAGTGCACATAAATTGAAAATAAATAAATCATTAAAAAAAATAAAAGAATAAGAAGAATACTTAGGCAGAAGCCCCTAGACTGACTAATCTGCTGCCATCCAGGCCTAGATCCACTGCTTTGAGTTGGTCCACCCCGACATCTACTCCATCTACCAGCTGCTGGAGCATGTGGAGAAGCCAATCCTACAGAATCAGATGTCATCACTGAAGCTGCAGCCCATGCCGTTGTTTGCCCTGCTGGTAGATGGCGAGGGAGAGGGGTGGTGGTGATGCTGCCTTCAGGCTACAAGCACAAAGGGGGAGCCTGGGGAGCCTCAGGGAGGCGGGAGGCTGACATCAAGTGGGGGGAATGGCAGCCTGGAACTCACTCTTCAGAACCTGCCCCTGGTTACCCTGCCTAGCCTCAAGATCACCCTGACTCTGGACAACAGCTGGATATCTGAGATGAGTCCTGGTGATGGTCCAGTATTTATGGTGCATCAGAAACCAGAAACCTTGAACCAGACCAACAACTCATTGCAATGTGTATTTGCATATAAAACTGGGAAAAAAAAAAATCCTGTGTGACACACTGCATTTTCCAATGCCACTATGAAAAAAAGAATATGCGATGGAGAGGTGGGAACGATGAATGAACAGAGCAGTGAGTGGGTGGTGGAGAGAGGCAGAACTAGACAGGTGTGAGAGAAGGCCATGCTGATGTCCATGATCTGTGCTCCCTCATGCGGCCATGTTGATGTTAGTGGGCCATGCTGCTGCCAAGGGCTATGTCTGGGTCAGTGGTCCTGCCACAGCCAGGGGCCCTGTTGATGGCTGTGGCCTGTGTTCTCTTGAAGTCATGTTGATGTCTGTGACCTGTGCTGCCACCTGAAGCCACATTGATGTTCTAGGGCTGGGCAACTAGTGCAGACCTTGTTGGTGTCCTTGACCCATGTTGCCCTGGAGGCCATGAGGATGTCCTTGGCCTGTGTTGCCATGGAGGGTTATGATAGTGTCTGTGGCTGGTGCTGTAGCAGAGGGCCATGTTGATGTCCGTGATCTGTATTGCCACCAGAGACCATGCTGAAGTCCGTGGCTCGTGCTGATGCTGGAGACCATGTGGATATCTGTGATCCGTGCTCACCAGAAACCATGTGGACGTCCATGAAACATGTTCCCCCAGGCGGTAGAGGGCAAGGAAACGACTTCTGCAGTGTTATCGATGACTGCAGACTCAGAATTGAGAAAGAGGGACATAGAGGCTTCAGTGACAATTCCCGCCCTACCCCCAACCCAAAAAAGTGACAACCTAGACAGAAAACCATTGAAGAGAACTCTTTTTTTTTTTTTGGTTTTTCGAGACAGGGTTTCTCTGTGTAGTTTTGCGCCTTTCCTGGAGCTCACTTGGTGGCCCAGGCTGGCCTCGAACTCACAGAGATCCGCCTGCCTCTGCCTCCCAAGTGCTGGGATTAAAGGCGTGCGCCACCACCGCCCGGCTGAAGAGAACTCTTAAAAACTGTGATAAGGATGCTGAAGTGTAGCTCTCCAAAGCTGAGGGCTACTGTCTAGGGTGCAGATAAAGGACTCAGCTTTCTTTAAGGGGCTGGCTACTGGGAGTTTGACCGTTTTCAGTGAGTATATGGGCAACACAAATTGGACTTGTCGGGGGCATTTTTTCTTCTTTCTTTTGGGGGGTGAGTCACAAGGGTGAGAGTGGATCAGGGAGGACTGGGAGGTGATGGGATTGGGGTGCATGATGTGAAATTCCCAAATAATAATTTTTAAAAAGTATGAGGAAAGAAAAGAATATGTAAAGACAAATTTCTATTTTTGTGTTCAAGTTATCTCTATGTAAGAAATATATGGTCCACTACATGTAAAATTGACAGTATAAACCGGACGGTGGTGGCACATGCCTTTAATCCCAGCACTCGGGAGGCATAGCCAGGTGGATCTCTGTGAGTTCGAGGCCAGCCTGGTCTACAGAGTGAGATCCAGGATAGGCACCAAAACTACACAGAGAAACCCTGTCTTGGAAAAAAAAAAAAGGAAATATTATAACACAGGGAGTTTGGACCTTTTATGGTGCTTTATTAATTTTGAATATTTTGAATGCTAATGAACAGACAACAACTGCTGAGAGACACTGGATTGTGGAAGAGACTGCTA